CTTCTTTGTAAACGTAAGACCATCTCTCAAAGTAGTCGTAATTTCGTCTGGCATCCCTTCCTCCGTCCATTTCGCTTCCTTTACCGACCTTAGTGAAAACCTCGTTTTTCTTCATTTGAAAAGAAGAAAAAGAAGAAGAGAACGAAAGAAAAGTGAAAAGAAAATCCAAAATGTTAGTCGAATTCTCGTTGTTACCGAGGAAGATCCGTTTTCTTCTCCTGTGAAAATCCGTGTGTCGATGTCGACTCAAAAGAAGGAAACATGGCGATGAAAGTAAGTACTGGAAAAAGATTTAAAGAAAGAGAGAGAAAGAGAAAAAGAGAGAGAGAGAGAGAGAGAGACAGAGAGAGAGAATATACATACACGCAGACGCGTTTATGCACGTGTCACTGACGGAGACGAGACAAAATGAAATGAAAAGAAATGGATGGATACGAGTGGTCACATGACACTTTTCCACGATATAATTTTTCTATTACGTTGACTATCCTATTACATATATGTACGTTATCTTTTCGGATTTTATCACTGAATCTGCCATCGTCATGACTGTACAAATCTTATATTCTCTTATTTTAAACTCTCTCGTATCTTTCAGATTTTATTATTTCAAATGTTAATGGTAATATTTATAACGCAAAAGAATCTTTAGAATTTAAAGCGAATATATATATTTTCATATGAGATTAATGAAAGTATCAATAGACAGATCAAATCAGTACGAATGTATTTTCTTTCTCTCTCTCTCTCTCTCTCTCTCTCTCCCCTCTTTCTCTAATTATGAAAATTTTAATCAATCGAAAAAAAATTATATATATATATGATTTTTATATACTTTATATATGCATATATCTATAAAATATTAAATATATATGATATATAACAATATTATATATTAGATGTATATCTATAACGTTAATTAAATTTATTGATCAAACTGATAAAGAATAAATGCAGTCATTTCGCTAATAACTTTTCGTTCGATTTTCTCGAAGTAGATCGACCTCGTGTACTTCGTTAAATCGTCTTTCTCGTTGATCGTTAATTATTTGGTGGAAGTGAGAAAAGAGGAACATAGGAGGGAGAAAGGAGGACAGTTTTACGAGCCCAAGACCGCAGGGGATTTTCACCTTCACGATAACATTAAATTGGAATTAGTAGGACGATATGTAATTTCGATTTTCCTTAAATTGTCACGAGTTCGTTATAAAGTTCGTAAATAAAGTTTTAACCTGTCAACTATCTCATTTCCAGACTTGGGCTTTTCTTTTTTTTTTTTTCTTTTTTTTCTTCTTATTGTTTACTTCTAATATGAGTTTAATTATAAATGATAACGATAATGGTACCGATAAAAATTTTTTTCCGACGTAGAAATTCAATAAATTATCTTTATTTTAGAGTAAATTTATCTTTCTGAATAAAAAAGTTAAAGATCGTATAAATGCTTGACACAATACTTATTAATTGCAAACGGACGTACGTGTGTACTATTTAACGACAGTATGTGCGTGTGAATATATGCGTAATGAGGTACCAAATGCGACGCTAATTATTACTGGTTAATAATTGCAATTATCCATCGACCGACAGCATTTTCATTGTAACGCTGGCATTATCGTGGCCAATAAAACGGAAGTACATAGGCCATGTTCAGTGTTCGAAAATTGGTATGAATAGATAATATGTACATTTATCGCTCGATTTCGTGCATTTCTTACAAAGGAATTAACTCTCTACTATTCACATTATTTTTTTTTTTCTTTTCTGTTTCCCGACGTTTTTATAACGCAAAGAGAAAGATGAGAGTTTTTTTTAACGAGCTTCTCGGATCAAACGATGGCGCATCTGCACGGAAAATTATCCGGTATAGTGACAACAGTGTGCAGGATCAAGGGAAAAGCCTGTAGTGACACTCTAATTAATTGGCGCCTGTCGGCCATAATTAATGAGACTTGTTGAGGCGAGCAGACAACGACGATGAGGAAATGGATGGAACAAGGAAGAGAAAGGAAAGTAACAAGGAAAGAAGGAGAAGGGAAAGGGTGTTAAAGTTCTCGAACGTGCAGAGTGATTCTGAAGAAAGTTATTTACACGCATGCCTCGAAGGATGGCAAGCATATTGACAAGCATAACTATGAGGGAGATGTTGCTCATCGTTCAACGATAACAAAAAGTTAACAGTGATCGATTAATTGGTTCGATGCTCCTAATGATGACATACTCCTAAGACATCTTTAGTATCCTCGGATATATTTTTATTCAAGAAAATATATATTTAAATAAATGATAACTAGGCTAATGAATATCTAATTTAATAGATTATTTTGATAAATTATTTTAAACGAAGATTATTACGTTTAAACAAAGCGTTAACATATGAAAATATTTCTTATAGACTTTATTTGGAATCTGTTATAGTAGATTTTTAAGAAGAAAAAAGAATAGCGTTCGATTCTTACTTTCGTACATTGTATATTGATACGTAAAGATTTTTGATGGCGAATTCAAACTTCAATCGATCGTTACATAGAAATCGGAGGGAGGAAGAGAATAACGCGTATGCAAATAACATAGGGAGGACATGGTGTACCTATTCGAATAAACTGCTTCGTGTCCTAGATAATTTGTCACTGCAAAATCCGCGGGGATTATTTGCCAAGCTAATAATGCGGGTCTACAGTCCCGGTTCGGCGTGCAAACGATAAAATCAGCGAAAATGCGCTCGACACGAATAATTGCGCGTGCAAGTAGTTGTGCTCGCATCTTTTCTCTTGTATAATTATTAATGAATATGAGAAGGATTATACGGATGTGTTGTTTAATCGTACGTATCTATTAATAGTTTATACCTGGCTTCTATGTAATTACAGATTAGTCGATATGTGATAACGAAAGATAGCTTTCGAAATATGATTGAACTCGTTAATCATGGAAACGACAAATATTGTATATTTAATATATATTTAAAATATCTTTTTAGCATAAAAATCAATCAGTAGGATCTTATAATTTCTGTTTTTTTTTCTTTTTCTTTTTATTAATATAATTTATCCTATGCAGATGTAATTTGTGAAAATATTTTTCAAAATTATTGAAATATATAACCATTAGCTACGATATTACTTTTATAACATAATTTAGATTTAGATGGATCAAAATTAATATCGATTGCCCGAGTCTCGATATGTGGTGATGAGGTATGCTTGCGGAAAGCCACGGACTGAGATTACATATTAATTAGCAACGTTTAACGAACGTTCCTTTGAAATGATTAAACTGGTACGAAGATCTATTGATGGATATCGATAACACATACTAATTAATTTCATGCCTAATAGTATTTTAATGAATATAATCTTCCGCATTTAACGCCTTAATTTATATTTCGTAGAACCCTAAAGTTATATATATGCATATATATATATATATATATTTATTCCGATTTCGGGATATACATATATATATATATATATATACGGAGTAGCTTGTCGTAAGCATATGATTATCTTGCACCATTTTAGATCTATGCATACTTACTGAAGAAGATTGTTCCAAAATGATAACGTCTGTGTAACGAAATATCTACGAAGAATGAATAAGGGAAAATTATATTACGCTATATCTTACGGAGAAGCCATAAAGAAAAATATATTTAGATATTCATTCTGACATTTGCTCTAGCATAAGTCGTTCCTAACGTACACAGGATCCAACGACATAGACTCAGTATTAGCTATTACTACATTTCAAGTCATTTATATGCCTCATTCAATATTTGTTCAAGGTGATTGAGTACGATGAGACGTATAATCCAATACACTAAAAAAAAAAAAGAGGAAAAAGAAAAAAAAACAAAAAGAAAGAAAAAGATATCGCGAGAGGGATCGAATAGTAGGTATTCAAGCTATCGAGGCTATCTTGAAAACGACTTCGTTTTCACTCACACTGCCAACCTTTTCACAGTTTCATTTTACTCTCACGAACACGTAGACACGTTAACCTCATTTTTAAAGTCGTCCTCTGGAATACAGGATAGAGGACACGTTCGCCTTCCCTCTCGTTTTCCATACAGATTAAGATTATCCACACGAACTCTTCGTGGAGTAGAGGAAGACGGGGTAAAGCGGATGTGTTAAGGTTTGGCAAGAAAAAAAGAAAAAAAAAAACGAAAACAAAGTTAATATCAAGATCAGAAAGCTTTTTCATATCAATAATCTTTTTAATTTAATCAATTTTTAAATAACTTTTAAATTACTTTATCGAATGAAATAAATATTACAGAACGTTTCATAATTAATTGTAAATACGTAAAGTTATTTTCTCATTCGTTATAAGTAATAGTTGTTGTTTTTTTTTCTTCTTCTTCTTTTCTATAATCAAATTAATAAATTTTTACTCGAGAACGTAATAATCATCGATTTATTTTTGTACATTTATACAGTTTAACACTAGACTCATGATATTAACGATAGTTATTCACTTGACCTTTTTGAGAAACTATCTCTCTTCAGTTTTGTTTGTTCTTATCGTAAAGTCGTCTCTTTGAAGTATCCCCAAGTACTCGTACATATACGATAATATCAAGTGGCTTAGAGTAAAAGAAGGGAAGTGTAAAGAAAAAAAACAGAAAGAGGTTGCGATCGATGTGAATTAAAAGAGATCGACCCGACCTGATTCCTCTTTTCTATTTTCTTCTACAATTCATTTGATTATGGAAGCGAATCGATTCTTTGTTAATAAAGATAGGCATGTCGTTCAATCGTTTCACGTTCATCCATCGTTTGTTATAATCAAATTATTATCGAGTAGATTCGTAAAAGATAAAAGTAAAAGGTATGATCATAGAATATGTTCGTTAATAATGATTTTTTGAAAGATCGAAATTGGAAAGTACTCGTCGATCAAACGTAAGAGGACTTGGATTTGAAAGAGAATTCCTTAAATTGATGACAAGCATTGTGATTTGGGACAATGTCTCTTACTAATTATTAATCATAGATAATTTTTTCGGTTAAATAACCAATGCTCTTTGTATCCAAATAATAAGTACTCTCGCTTCATATAATTTCAATCCTTTCAAATCTATCCATCAAACGTGCAATTCGTTATATGATTTTTTTTTTCACATTAATGGAACAAGCGAAAAAAGATAATCGAGAGAACGCATAATTATTGATGATACATGAAACGATAGGATTTAAAGTGCTATCATAGTTATCATCGGATGGTAGTTTGGAGAGAAATGATTCTCTTATTGTATCTTCCGAAAAAGTCTTTTCACTCGCAGCTTAATGCTTTTATTAGAGCTTTAATGCTCAGAAAAGGAAGATGGAACGAACGGAAGAAGAAAAGGATGTAATGGTTGAGTGACGCATCGTAGACTCGCTTTCTATTATGAAGCACTTCGCCTAATCTCCGCTTAATATCGTCGTCAGACAAGATGACTATGGACTTCCCTTTGTCGTTCTCGCGTCTTCCTTCTCGTAAGTGCTCCCTTGCTGCGTCCACGACGGTTTGTCGTGTCGGTAGAATACGTTCGTCCCTTCGACCTCCCTCCTCATTAATTACGCTTCCCTACCACCTACGAAATAAACGCATTCCTCTCATTAATTTCGTCCAAGGCGATTAATCTCCCCCGCCACTATTTTCACCTACTCCGCACTTTTATTTTAACGATTAAATTGTTTATCCTCAGTGTTTCCCAATGGTTTTGCTAAGTAAAAAATAATCTTTCCTTTCTCGTTACAATCTAATTTTATAATGTTATATTCTTTTATTATATTTTTTTAATGTTATATTTTTTTTCTAATCGTATCGTCGAAAGACAAAGATTAGTTTAAATCAGTTGTAACAACAATGAGATTTAGTGTAAAAAATTTCATAACGATTCTATGGATATATTTATCTTGAAAACGATTGTATGAGGGATGTGTGCAAATTAGAAAAATAAAAAAAAAAAACAAAAAGAAAAAAAAGAAAGAAAGAAAAAAGAAACGATTTTAAAAAAACTTTAAGAAATTTTAAAAAAACTTTAAAGATTCCAAAACAAATAGAGAATTTGAGAAACACTGAATTAAAGGGTGTCGAGAAAGAGACAGTGAAGTAGGTGGATAAAGAAAAAAGGACGATTCTTAGAAGCGATGGAAGGGAAATAAATGGATATGTTTCTTTTGGACAGCACGGACACCCGTTAGCAACGTGAGAATTCGGTTTCCAACCTTCCATTTGCCTACGGTGAAAATTGCACGAGGACACTCGATCGTAATGTCTCCATCGCTCTTGAGATCTTAATGCATACTCTCAATGCGTTCACTCCGCCTTTCAGAATTATGTTTCAATGCGGTACATAATGCTTTCACGAGCATAATATCTGCCGCATTTCACAGGTATAATCGTATCTACGCTAGAACATTATTCCGATAGGACACATCGATGTTCATGATGTTCGAATTGCAATGTACCGAATCAGTTTTGAATCTATTAAGATCAAAAATAGATAAGTATTTTCAATATTCGAAGAAAATTCGAAAGAAATTCGAAGAAAATTCTTCAACTTTAAAGAAACAAAAATAACCTCGATATTTAAAATGCATAATCATATTGAATATTAAAATTTTTATTTAATTTAATAAGAACATTTATATTAGAAAAATCAATAAATGTAATTTTGGATACGTTAATATCGGCTATAGTAAATATCGATCTTCCTTTTCCCTTAAGTTCTCTCATCGTAGAAGTTATTCGGTTTCAAAGTCGTGAATATTTGCATCTGAGTCTGACAGTATCGCATATATCTTGAGGGAAAAATCGTCGAAATAAATAACAATAACGCTTCTCTATCCAGGCTTTTTCCTTTCTAACTATCGAGACTTGAGCCGAGAAGGGGCGTATAGTAAAGTTTAAGAAGTTTTCTCGTGCCAAAGAAATTGGTGGCAACTCTTACGTTATGTATACTTGTACACATAAGGTGAAATATAGACGTCGAGAAACGCGTGGGAACGTGCCGAAGTAAGAGAGAAAGAAAAAGGGATGCAAAATGAGAGAAGGAGAATTTGCGAATCGGTTATAGACGAGCGTAAGGGGACTGTCGGTCGCAGCCATAACCTGGTGACTGAGTGACTTCCTGAAAAAGAAAGGCCTTCTTTCTTTCTTCCATACCTTTCTCTTCTTTCGACGAATAAACCAGCGTAGTGTGTCGTGCCAGGCAGGAAAGGTACGGCGCACCCCGTATTTGTCACTCGGTGCTAAGGGGTTGTCGGCTTGTCGCCACATAATTCTCTCAGCACCCCATACCGCACTCTCATACCTTAACTTATCCTTCTGACCCTCTCTGGCACGTCCTCTTCAAGTTCTACTTTTCCTCCCTCCCTTCCTCCCTCTCTCTCTCTCTCTCTCTTTCTCACTTTCAACTAGAATTTATATACCGATTTGGAATATTTCGTGAAACATAATTTGTATCGTTTTATATCTCTGATAGATAATATAAATCCAATCAATTGACAATTATTTGTTTGAACATTTTTATGGACGTTGAATTTTAATGATACACGATTCATAACGTGACCGCAAAAATTTTGTGAAAAATATCTTTTCCTTCAAATGGAAAAGATTTTCGATTCGTTTCGCTTTCAGTTCACTGATTGAACAGACTCAAGGTTACAATTTTATGAAAAATCGAAAAGGAAATCGGTTAGAGATTTTCTCGTGAATGTAGAGATCTTCGGAAAATCGCAACTGCGAAATTCGATAGTAGAAGCTTTAAAGTAGACTTGAAATTTTCATTTTGTCCCGTCATATCCTATTCCCATCTTCGGTCGATTCATCGAAATGCATGGGTAACGATTTTTCGATTTCATTTAGAACAGGACATATATCTATTACTTGTTTTATATCTTTTACTTTATAAATGTTTATAAAAAAGTCGATGCTCTCTTTCTATCTTTGAAAGGAAAGTATATTTATGAAAATACGGTCCCTTCAAGAATACGCCGATTATGTTTGAAGATCTTTGGGATCTTTGAAGTTGATGTTCTATCCAAAAGTTTCAGCTTATCTCTGTAAGCTATCGTCTTTTAACTCTTATACCCATTTCCAACTTGAATTCTCTTAAACTTTTTTACTGTATTACCTATATATAAAATTGTAAGGAACTAAAGGTAAGTATAGTAGTTTCAATTCGGATGGACCTGAAATATTATTTCTTTCGAGAGCGTTGAATTTTAAATGGGATCGCATAAATTAGAAATAATATACCTAGAATATAAATATATGAAATTTGTAGGATATTATTTATTTTATCATTTGTCAAAATGACATCTTTTATAAATCTTTTTAAAATTTTTGACTAAATATATTTCGCCAAGAGAACCAACATAGGATAGTAAAATATTTTCTTATAAATCATTAAAAAGATATAAATGTTCTCTCGAGTCAGTCATTCGGACTTATGGATTCGATTAGGAAAAGCGTAAGAGTAAGATAAAATGAGGTCGATAAAAGAAAGAAACGAATGAGAAAACGGAAGTAGAAACTAAAGATCGAAGTTAGAGAGAAGGAAGTATGTGCTATAAAAAAGCAAGGATAAGATGAGAAAAAGAAATAGAAAGAAAAAGAGAGAGAGATAAAGATGGTTAAGGGTGGAAAGGCGTGTGTAGGTATAGGGAGGTCAGAGCCAAGATACCTTGAGATTACGAGAGATGAAAGTTTCATAAAACACACTGCTCACGACTCGTTCGTGGACTTTCAGCAGTCGGTCGTGGCTCACGAGGAATTTAAAAGTGGAGGGTGAACATGGATACGTACATAGGCAAGCGTGCGGATATTAAAGGAGTTCAGAGGAAGGAGTGGCAGGTGGTATAAGGTCAGACGTATCATCCTTTCTCTCTCTCTCTCTTTCTTTCTTCCTTTCTCTCTCTTTCTTTTAATTATTGACCTTTTTACATTTTAAAGATAAAGAACAATTTTTTATTATAATTTAATGATAAGAAGTAAACATTTTTATATATTTAAGTTTTCTTAAATAATGCATACTCTAATTCTTTTAGTTTTTGTATAAGATCATTATATATATATATATATATATATATATATATATATATTTAACAAAACTTTAAGTATGTTAACGGTTAAGATGCGGCCAGTCCCGAAGCGAAGAAAAGTGGTAAGTTGATTTTCCAGTATTGGGTGTATCCACTAGAACTCGGCACCTCTGAGTCCGATGGAAATCGTTATGTCGATTTATATTTCAGTGGTAGGGAAGCAAAAGGAAGACGAGATACAGCTTCAAGTATGTATGTTCCCATCGATCTCAAGAGACCTTCGTACACTTGGAAACGCTCGCGTCTTCTTGCGGAATTCTCTACTGACGTACTCGACCGATCGTAGATTTACCGAAGCGTGGACAGGATGATTTCACCGATTGATCTACATCTTTTTCGAATCGAAAATCTTATCTATCTATCTCCTTTCGAATGGTAGATTCCATGAGAGATTCACGGAATATTGTGTCTTTTGCGTACATAGCAAATGTATCTGGTATAGGATCTTTTTCGATTATAATAGAACAAACTGATTTGACTATATCGGTAGGATTGATTTTTGGGTGAATACGATTTTTATAAGGTCGATTAAAATTTTTATCGTTACATCGTATCGTAATATTCGCGCGATTGATAAAGTAATCTTTTAATTTTATTAAAAAGCAAGATTCTAAAGAAAAAAGTTAATTAACGAAACAATCAAAGGACTTTCGATAATTATTAAAGGATTGACAGAGCGCGTATCGTCGATGATGTCGATCAATTTTTCTTTTCTCAAAATAAATAAAAAAAATTATTCGTAAAAGAGATACTACGTGTAGAATAAATAATATGAGAAATTCGATGAGAGCTCGTAGAAAGTCTATAATCGTAAAATTCTAAAATCTTGAATCGCATTCATTATTCGAATGAGCTTACGAACACGCAGATCGAAGTTTAAGAACTAGCGAAATACGTCCTGTCTCATCCGATAGAAAATTCTCCGTGTAACTGAACCTCTCGAAGATTCTTTAAATAAATAAAGAAGAGTATACTTGGTAAGTATTTTGCGCGTCTTTTAAATCTTTCCACTTCGCTCGAGTGTATTCATGAATATTTCGAGAATTCTGAGGTGCGAGCCATGTTACGAACGGACAGACCTTTAGAGTCGACTACTTTTTACTTTGCTTTAATCTATCGATCGATACGTCACATTCACGGACTGTAAAACTTTTTCCGATTGGCCGACTAATCGAAGTCGCCCGTTGGCGACGATATCCGAAAGCCCGAGATATTACTGATTTTCTTTCTAGATACGACCGTATCGTTTTCTTTTTATCTTACGCTCACCGAATAATACGATATAATATCTGAATAACGGGAGAACTGGAAAGAGAGATTGTCTTTCCTTTTAGATATTCCTAACGTAAATTTACACTATAGATTATCTTTCAGCCATCATTCGCGAATCGAATCGGAATTTCTTTTTAAGAAATACAGATTTTTATATGAATTTTTCGCATCAACGATCTATATAATACTTTAGAAAAATAATAAGTAAACA